ACAAAAATTACATGATCATATCAACAGATGCAGAAAAAGAGATATATAAAGTAGAGCACCAATTTATGATAAAAAACACTAGTGGAAATAGAGGAAACATATCTCAACATAATAAAGGCCATATATGAGAAACCTACAGCCAACATCATACTCAACGGGCAAAAACTAAAAGCTTTTCCCCTAAGAAAAGGTGCAAAACAAAGGTGTCCTCTTTCACTACTTCTATTCAACATAGTATTGGAAGTCCTAGCCACAGTGGTCAGACAAGAAAAAGAAATAAAAGGCGTCCAAACTGGAAAGGAGGAAATAAAACTCATTGTTTGCAGACAACATGATAGTGTACATAGAACACCCTATAGACTCCATCAAAAAACTATACAACCTAATAAGTGAATATGGCAAAATGGCAGGATACAAAGACATTCAGAAATCAAAGACATTTTTGTACACCAACAATGGAATATCAGAAACAGGAACTCGGAATAACATCCCATTTACTATAGCAACAAGAATAGTAAAGTATCTAGGAATAAACTTAATGAAAGAAATAAAAGACCTGTATGCAGAAAACTACACAACACTGAAGAAAGAAATTAAGAAAGACACGAATAAATGGAAGCATATACAGTGTTCATGGATTAAAGAATTAACATCATTAAAATGTCCATACTACCCAAAGCAATCTATATATTCAATTCAATCCCTATTAAAATGCCAATGATATTTCACAGACATAGAACAAATATTTCAAAAATTTATATGGAGCCATATACAACCCTGAACATCCTCAGCAATTCTGAGAAAGAACAAAGTAGGAGGGATCACAAGACCTGATATCAAACTACAGTACTAGGCCACTGTAATCAAAACAGTCTGGTACTGGCATAAGAACAGACACATAGATCAATGGAACAGAATAGAGAGCCCAGAAATAAACCCAAGTCTTTATGATTCATTAATATTTGACAAAGGGGGCAGGAGCATAAGTGAGTAAAAATGGCCTCTTCAATAAATGGTGTTGGGTGATCTGGACAGGTACATGCAAAAAATGAAACTCAACTACCAACTTACACCATACACAAAAATAAACTCAAGATGGATAAAAGTCTTAAATATAAATCATGACACCATAAAAGTCCTAGAGGAGAATACAGTCAGGAAACTCTCAGATATCCCAGACAGCAATATTTTCACTGGTATGTCCCCTAGGGCAAGAGATATAAAGGAAAGAATAAAAAAATGGGACTACATCAAATTAAAAACCTTCTGCACAGCTAAAGAAAATATCAGCAAAATAAAAAGGTAATCAGCTGTATGGGAAAACATATTTACCAATGATACCTCAGACAAGGGTTTGATCTCCAAAATATACAAAGAACTAACATGACTCCACACCAGGAAGATAAACAGTCCAATTATAAAATGGGCATAGGACCTGAACAGACACTTCACCAAGGAAGACATACAGAAGGCCCAGAGACATATGAAAAGATGCTCAACATCATTAGCCATCAGAGAGATGCCAATGAAAATCACAATGAGATACCACTTCACACAGGTCAGAATGGGTATCATTAACAAATCAACAAACAAGTGCTGGCAAGGTTGTGGAGAAAAGGGAACCCTACTACACTGTTGGTGGGAATGCAGACTGGTGCAGCCACTGTGGAAAACAGTATGGAATTTCCTCCAAAAACTAAAAATGGAACTGCCTTTTGATCAAGCAATTCCACTGCTGGGATTGTACCCTAAGAATCCCAAAACACCAATTCGAAAGAACACTGTGCAGTGTTATTTACAATAGCCAAGTGTTGGAAGCAGCCTAACTGCCCATCAGTAAATGAGTGGATCAAAAAACTGTGGTACATTTACACAACGCAATACTATGCAGCAGAAAGAAATAAGGAACTCTGACCATTCGCAACAGCTTGGATAGAACTAGAGAGCATTATGCTAAGTGAAATAAGCCAGGTGGTGAAAATAAATACCATATAATCTCACTTATGAGTGGAACCCAATCAACAAAACAAATGAATGAACTAAAAGAACCAGAGACATGGAAATAAAGAACAAACTGATGGGGACCAGAAGGGTTGGGGTAGGGGGATAACAGGGGAAAGAAGGGGAATATGTACAGAGGACCCATGAACAAGGACAATGGGAAGGGGATTGTCTTTGGGAGTGGGGGTTCGGCATGGCAAGGGAGAGCAATGGGGGGAAAATGAGGACAACCATAAGTGGACAACAATTTTAAAAAACATAAAAAATAAATCATTTGCCAAAAAAAAAAAAAGAAAAAGAAAATCAGATGTAAGAGCTGATATTTAGAGGAAAGACAATGAGTTGGATTTGAGTCATGAAGTAATGCAAGATATTCAAGAAAAATGTACATGTAGAGTTTGGGACAAAACTCATGGCTAGAGATAAAGAAGTTATTTCAAACATGCAGATGTTGCCCTGACTGGTGTGGCTCAGTTGGTTAGGCGTCAACCAACAAAGCAAAAGGCCACCATTTTGATTCCAGGTGAGGACACATTCCTAGGTTGCAGGTTCAGTTCCCAATCAGGGCGTGTACGAGAGGCAGTTGAACTATGTTTCTCTCTCACATCAATGATTCTCTCTCTTTCTCCCTCCTTTTCCCCCTCTAAAAAATAAATAAAATCTTTTAAAAATATGCAGATGTTAGTTGACATTAGGAAATGAATGAAGTCTCTGTAGGGGAGAATATAAAAAGTGAAACTAGAAAGAAAAGGTCTGAATTCTGAGGAACGCCCCCAGGAGTTAGGAGACAAGGGAAGGGAGAAAAGAAATGGGCTTAAGCTTCTGGCCATATAGGTCAGTTGGTTAGAGCGTCATCCTGATAGGCCAAGGTTAGCCGGTTTGCTCTCTGGTCAGGGCACATACAATAAAAGCAAAGATAAGTGGAAGAACAAAATCAATGTTTTCCTCTCTCTCTCTCAATGAATAAAAATTTAAAAACTGGTCCTAAGAATATGAGAAGCTTCCCCTTTGCAGTGTCTCATACTCAAGGGAGGAAAATCCTGAAAAGATAATAGTGACGTCTGGAGAATAAGAACTGGGAATAAGCCCCTAGAAGTGGCAGAGACAGCTGGAAGGCATTGAGGTGATTGAGACTGGATAACCTTTCAAATTCCTTTATCTATCCTGCAGTTCTGTGAGTCATTTGAAGATTAGAGGAACACAAATGACCTAAAAGGAACCCTGCTACAGTAGATCAGGGTGTGACAATAGCTCTGGCTGTAGTTGCCTCATTACATGGTAACCCAGGTATGAAGCAATTAAGGCACGTAGTGCATTTAGATATTGCCATGTGGAATAAAAGTGACACACAACGACTTATGGATAACTGTCCAATGCATTGTAAAGTGAGTCAGCTCTGAAGCATGGCCAATAATACTATCTCCAAAGACATGAGCATCAACCCCAAACTGCCTCCTGTATATTACACAAATATCTCACATCTGGAGATTCACCTGCTATTTCATCAAATCAATTAATTAAACAACTCAGCAAGCACCCAATGAGCACCTACGTGTGTTGTGAGGCATTGTGCTAGGCTCTTGGGATTCAGGGAACCTACAGAGTGTTGCTTACAAGGAACTCCAGTTTAATGGAAAGGCTCACACACAGAATAAATCCAGGAAGAAGACCCCTTGAAGCAATAGACAAGATCCTGCTGATAGTGAGAGGTTAGGTACTGAAGGTGAATAAACCAGTTTGGAATGGCAAAAGGCATATGGTTCATTTATTTGTAAAATCTTGGGCTTTGGAGGGAGGGAGCTTGGAGAACACCCAGGTCTAGGAGCATTTGATTCCTAATGCAACAGTGTGATTATTGCTCACATTGAATATTTTTACTGTGCATTTGGTTATTTTATTCTTATCTCTTCCATTAAGCCATAGAATTTCAAAGTTAGAAGAATTATTAATAGGCAATTTCACTTAAACTTGACTTCCTCATTTCAATCCTCTCTTAAATGAGACCATTGTCATCTCTTTTCTACAATGTGCACCCAGGTGGCAAGCAATAAATAGTTGTGGTTCTCTTTCATTTAGTTACTTTCTCTCAACATTTTATATAGGAAAATAAGCCTTTTAGTAGGCCCCGCATCACACTTTTGTGAAATAGTCTACAAAATACCATATGATCTCACCTATAAGTGGAACCAAACCAACAAAACAAATAAGCAAGGAAAATATAACCAGCAACATTGAAAGAAAAAACAAACCAACAGAGTCAAGAGGGAAGGAGGAGGGTGGGACATAGAAAGAGAAGGGAAGGGTCAAGTCAAGGAACGTGTATAAAGGACCCAAGGACAAAGCCAAAGTGGGGAAGGATTGAGGGAGGGAGGTGGGGGTGGGTGGGGCAGGGGAAAGTGGTGGGGGAAGGCAGAGATAAATGTATTTGGAAAAATTAATTAATTAAAAATAAATAAATAAAAGGTCTATTCAGAATTCAAAAAAATGATTCAATGTGGTTTGGTAAACAAACTTTTTTAAAACACAAGAGAAATAACTAAAATAACACTATGAAAATGAGACCTTAAAAGTGTTTCTGATAATATGTTAAATTAAAATAAAGATAAATGGTGGTATTGTAGCTGTTACTATAACCATGTGAAATATGTTTTCATAACTGGAAGGTAGTATGAAAAAATAGTCAGTTGAAGAATTAAAAAATAAATACATAAAAATGCACACTGATATGACCACTGTCACAATACAAGCTAACAAAATGTTTTCAAATGAAGTTAAAGACAACTAAGTGCTACTAGAGCCACCTTACAGGAAGAAAACAAAAGGACTTTTTGGTCCACCCAATAGCTCATCTTATAAAACCACCCAACAAGAATAGGACAAACAATCCTGTTATTTTGGAAACAGGAGAAAATTAGCTTGTTTCTGCTCCAGAGCACCGTGTCTGAGGCAGAATTTCTCCTGCCTCCAATGATATGGAGAGAGAGGGTATCCACACTTACCCCTCTGTGGCAGCCTCTTCATTTTCTACAACACCAACTCCAAGTACCAGAGAATGCCAACCCATTCAATAATCACAGGACAGCCTGGCACTTTGTCCTCAGGCAAAGAAAAAGAAAGACAAAGAAAACAATAACAGCTGCTCTTTGCATCAGATTCCTTTTTAGAAGCCAACTAAACAAACAGCCAGAAGAAAACAAAACAAAAACAAAAAACCTAGGTTGCTGTCTAGACCACTGCGAAAACCAGTAACTCTGAGCCAGGATTCCTTCTAACTGGCAGACACACATAAGGAACAAGGATGGCTTACAGAAAGTCATCAGATAGTGGTCATATGTGCACGAAATGAGAAGAAATGACATTGTGACATTCTAGCTCGGAACTGTTTATGAGGAACTAGTTGAAGCCCAACCTACTGAGTTTTGATTTTGCTTTCACAATTGCTTTGAGGCAGAAGTTATTATTGGAAGAACTCAGACTGCAATGCTATTGCTGTCCAGTGTCTAGCATCCTGGTTGACAGAAAATGCCTTATAGCACTTAGGTAGAAGGGATAGTAAACCAAGGCAAGGAGGAGAAGGGAGACATGTCTCACCCACTAATTCAGCAGTCCTGAGCCTGTTCTGATAAATTGGCAGGTGTTCCAACATTACAAGAAACACTATGTTAGCAGGGAAGGAGGGAAGTCCTTGAAATTCTATGTATCATTTCTTCTATCTTGGAAACAAAGCCTTGAAAGTGTGTATTCATTCCAAGGTCTGAAAGGGGGAAGGAGAGGAGGTCCACAGTGCCCAAAGAAAAAGCCCATAAAACAACTTTGGTTAATTGCCTACCTCTGGTCGTTATCTGTTTTCAAAGGGGTCCCTAATGTACTACAGAAAGAGCCCATAAATTACTTTGGGGAACTGCTCCAACTTTAATTAACTGCCTCTGGTCATGTATCTGTTTTACAACAAAATGAACAAATGTGGTCTGGAGCAAGATAAGGATTAGGGCTAACAGCCCTGCACACATACCTAAGTTTGGGTAGTCACGTCCCCCTCAGGAAACCTGGCCCCACATTTACCCGTCAATCAATATGTAACTTCTTTATCCCCATCCTGCCAACGATGTAAGTCCTCAGAACAAAGAGCCTGATGCTCTTGCCACCCTGCCTCTTGACGCCCCTGCTCTTTCTGCCCTTACCACGCCTTGAACCTATTCCCTTCTCCTCTACCTCAGCAAAGCCCATTCTCTTCCATGAGAATGTATCACTAATAAGCCTTGCTTGCGTACTAATGGACTTGCTGATCTGTAATTCTTTAATGCACCAGCAAGAACCAGGTTTCTCCCATAGCAGCTTCATGTTAGACTCACCTTCGACATGTGTCCATGGGAGAACTGGTGCAATTAAGAGTAGAAAAGAAGAGGAGGGCAAGGACAACAGCACATTCTAGCTGTGTGCCAGAAACTTTACGTGGGTATTGTTAATAGTTCCCTATGGCTGCTGTAACAAATGACCACAAACTGTGTGGCTTAACACAACAGACGCTGCTCCCACAGTTCCCTCATAGCTCTCTCACAGTGCTAGAGGCTAGAAAGCTGAAATCAAAGTGTCTCCAGGACATACTCCCTCCAAAGGCTCCAGGGAAGAATGCTTACTTGCCTCTTCCTAGCTTCTGCTGGCTCCCCTTAAGCCTTGGCATTCATTGGTTTGCAGCTGCATCACTCACTCTTCCACTATCTTCACATGACCTTCTTCCCTGAGTGTGTCTTCGAGTGTCCTCTCCTCTTCTTACGAGGGCACCCCCGCCATTAGATTAGTGCCCACCATATTCCAATATGACCTCATCTTCAATAATTACATCTGCAAATACTCTACTTCTAAATAAAGTCATATTCTTGGGCTCCAGGTGGACATGAATTTTTGGGGAACGCTATTCAACCCACTACATTTATCCTCCCCCCAAACCTTCTTCCAACTCCACCCACCCCTTTCCCCCTGCAATTACCACACTGTTGCCATTGTAACACCTGAAAAGTTAGCGTTCATGCTGCCTACCACTACCAGAACCAACAAGTAGAGAGAAGGATTGAATCTTTATAGACACTTTATTCAGATGCTGGTGAGCTGAGAAGATGGTGGGTTATGCACCCTCAAAAATCATCTTAATATCTCCTCTCAAGCCAACCTTTTCATAAGGAGAAGAAGGGGTAGGTAAGGGGTTTGGAAAAAATGTTAATCAGATAATGTAACTGAGCACACCCGGGCTTGGCTACATGGCACCTTGACACATGACCCAACAATTAGTGTTGAAGGAAACAGGTTTTCATTAACAGAGTTCCAACCTCTGGGTGGGGTGGGGGCGGGGGCTGAGAGCACTGCTCAGAGCCCTCCTCTCCCATGACACCCAGCACTTCCCTTGTTTCCCAAAAGGCTACAGGCCAAAACCATGCCCAGAAGTTCCTCACATCCTTATCTGCTCTTAAGCCAGCCATACAAACAGATCTCCATCCCCTCTGGAAGGTGCCCTTGTGGGTCTCGGAGTCGCCACCTCTCGTAGCAGCCCTCTCCTTCAGGACTGGGGGTGCACTGTTCTCAGCCTCCATGCGGTGGTTCAGGGAAACATATGCCGTGTTACACTGGATCATGGTGGGGTCCAGGGAGGCACATGTCCCAAGAGAGTGACTTCTCTGTACATCCTTCAGAGGAGCAGAAGTAGCTCAGCATTCCCAGTCACAGTTCAACTCCAGCATCTCCCACGAATTCGCGCTTGGTTAGGCAGGCCCCTGCACAGACAGCTCCATCAGCTCTGCCTCGGTCTTCTCTTTCTCACTTCAGACCTCGTAGCCAACTCCTGTCTACACCCTCTCAGGCCACAAGGCTCCTTTCTCTTCTCTTTCAGCCCACCCTCATTTTTAAAAGCTCGGCCCAGAACTACCTATGTGACATTATATCTGGCCCCTCCTATGATATGTTAGTGTCCACTCTTTTTGCCAGTTCCCCTGAACTTTTATCTTCTTTCAGCTGCCTCTTTCGTCAGAGCAAGAGTTTCCAGTGACACAGGGGCATCCAGGATGGGCATCTGCTCCTTGCCTCTCGTGCAGGTGCTGTATAAGCTCTCCGGGCCATGTCACGAGTCACAGAATGCTCTTGCAGTCCTGTACCCTTTTTGCACTGGGTAGCAGCCCTCTTCCCCTCAGGAAAGGCACGGCTATTAACTTGCCATTGTTATGCAAAGAATCTTAAAGGCTGTATCATCCACTTCCCCCTTCTCCCAATCAAGGTTTGTGGGAAATAGGCTCTATTTTCAGGGGACCCCTGCTCTGCACCCCATCACTCTAGAGTTATAGTCCAGGGGCAATTTTCCTAGGACTTCTTTACCTGTTGATTAACAATTCAGATACCATCTCCATCACTTGCAGACCTGCTGGGGCACAAAGGTTGGAGTCACGCATTCCAGTTCCTGGAATAACAGCTTTCCACAGGCATTAATCACTTAAGCCTATCAACTATGACTACAGCTAAAATCTATAACTCTTGAGTTCCCCTATCAATTTTATATACAAAGAAACAGTTGCCATGAAGCAATCTTTCCTCAGCTGCACAGACAGACCCACTCTTGGCATCTAGGCAGTCGCTCCCAGTTGTAGCTACTACAAGGTTCAATGTTACTCATTTGAGACATCGAGTAAAAAGAACCAGAAGGGGGAAAAGAGAACACTGCTTTTTCAGGTGACTTAGAGGCAACATGGAGAGAAGACAAGAAAACATGAAAAAAAATGTGTTTTAGAGTATATACTCTGTCCGCGCACTGGAGTCCCATCTCTGCTGACTCCGCTTTTATGAGCCCAGGGGAACTGGATGGCAGTGTTATTGGTGATATTGGTGGTGAAATGGCACCAGGTGTTAGTGGCAAGGCGGGGGCCTCGGTTCTTGAGTTCATCAATTAAGAGCCAAGAACTCAAATTATAAGAGAAAGTTCATTTAGAAAGTTACAGAGGTAGTAGAAGTGAGCCAACTGGTCTGCAGAGGCTCAGGAAACAAGTTACAGAACCAAAAGAGGGCCCTTGGAATTTGGGAGAAGGAGAGGGCAAAGGTAGCATCCCTGGGGGGAAAACAGGGGAAGGGAAAGGCACGGGCATGCTTCTGAGAGGAGCGGGAGAGCCCACTAGGTCCTTTGTCTTAAAGATTTTAAAGGCTGGGTGTTTAAGGGAGATACCAGGGGAGGATCTCAATAGGATATTCGTTAGCTTTATGGTGCTGCATCAAAATGACACTTATCCCCTGACTTCATCCTTGGGGGCGGTTGGCACAAATGACACTAATTGGATTTTTGTGTTCTATCTCCCTGAGTAGGGTGATTTAAGCTATTTACCCTCTGGCTGGGGAGGAGAGGTGTAAGGCATTTATTCTTAAGTGTCCTTGGTTAGAGAAGATAGGATTGTGAGATTTACTAAATGGCTGTACTGCTTGGGCTTGAAACTGTCTCAGTTTCCTATTCCATTTGTCCTGGCTTACTAGCCTGTCTCATTAGGAATGAAATTGGTTGTCCAGGTCTATATTCGAGTTGACCTCTCCTTGCCACCGGCTTCTAGTCTCACCACTGAAAAGCCCCACTGTGGAATGGAACCACAGAGGCCTAAGAAATGGGCATATGTTCCCTGCGTGGCTCTAAGAGTTCATTGTCTACATGAGATCCACATACCACTCACCAGAGTGCCTGTCCCTCTGTAGGAGGGAGATGTCCTCGTCCCTGTTTCCCTTCCCTATCTCACCTACTGTATTTTGCTGTTTATAATGCACACATTTCTGCTCAAATTTTTGAGGGAAAAATAAGGATGTGCATTATACATGGGAAGTACTAATTCTGTATCTATATAATTGTTTTTAATTATTTTATTTAGGTGTATGTTTTAAAAGTGTAACTCTAGAAAGCAATAATGATATTTATTTGAAAACAATACCCTGGAATATGATAATCGGTTTTGTTTCTAACTAAATAAATTAAAATTGAATTAAAAAATTAAAATGGAAGTTTCTTTTTCCCTGAAAGCTCAGGCCAAAAATGTGGGTGCGCCTTATACATGGTAAAATATGGTAAGTTCCCTCTCTTCCCTGCTCATTCCATACTCTACCCTTTCCCCTGGACTCTTTCTTCATAAACAGAAGGCTGGGAAAAAAAGACTGAATTCAGAGCAAGGGTGTTTTCACAGCGAGCCCCTAGGTGTTTTCACAACAGGACCCAAGTGAAACAAACTAACATCTCAGCATGTTTTCCTGCCTCATGAATCTGTATGCTTTGAAAAAATATTGGAGGAGGAGATACCAAAGTGTTACAGAAGCATCTAGGTAGAGGACCTTCAGGCAATTTTTTAGTTTCTTCTTTTTGCTTATATTTTATTTTCTAAATAACTTTCCATGAGCACAAATTACTTTTGTAAAGACATGGAAATAATTTTTAAAAATCAGTAATGGAAAGTATAGTTATATTGCTAAACAATAGCAACAAGAAAACATTTAAAGAACTTTGCAGTTTAATTTAGCTTTGTTCCCTTCATAATGAAAGATCACCAAGAGGCATAGCTAAATTGTATGTGTGTGTGTGTGTGTGTGTGTTCCTAAAAACAGGAACACAGGCTCAAAATGATGTCAGTTATTAATAAAAGGAAGAAACAAACAAACAAAACACTGGCTATGACCCCTTCTCCCCAACCTCCCCACCCAGCCCTGGTCACCAAACCAAGATTTAACTTAATTATAATTCCAAATAGAATCCTAAACCAGTCAAGAATTGCCTGATTAGCACTACTTAGAAAATCTGCCTGCTAGGCCCTGCCATCTCCTTAACTTTAGGGCCTAAAGGAAAATGAACTTGTCATAACAAATTTGCTTTCTCATCTAGTATAACTTCTTTGTTCCTGCTCCCTCCTGCCCATGAAAATCTTTTATTTCTTACCCCTCCTCAGAGCCCCTTTCTATTTGCTAAATTGGATACTGCAGGGTTCATGAATGATTGAACAAAGAAGCCAATTAAGATTTACTCAGTTGAATTGTTTAATTTTAATTTTTAATTTCTTTTTCAGAACCTACTTAAAAGTTATTTTTAAAAAATGCTGTTCTCCTTATAATGGGCTATCTCAGAAGCCAAATCCACATTAAATTTTTTCAACAGAAATTCAGGTTTAGGATAGAATTGTCATAAACATGAATTTCGTTTTTAACAGTGTGTAGGATGATACCTGATAATGGAAAATTGGAATTTAGGTCATAAATATTGCACTATATTAAGTGTAACAATGATCTTACCAGTGTATACAACCAGTTTGCAAGGCCCCTTCCTTTCTATAGAAAAAAATGTTGCTTAACCAGGATTATGCAGCTTAATCAGGATCACCTTGTGAGTACAAGGCAGAGTGAGGTAAGAACTACTCCTACCATTTCTATACTTTCTTCCCAGAATATTTTCCTCCAAATGCAATGTAATACAATACAATGTATGCAATGCAATGCAATGCAATGTAATGCAAATGTTTACATAAAGCACTGGGAACAGTGCTTTCCACATAGCAGATACTAAATCAGTGTTAACTACTTCAGGTCCAAAAAATAACTCCACTGTGTTAGGTCTTATAGGAGAGAAAAAAACAAACAAACAAACAAATGAACGAACGAAGGAATAAATAAGACAAAAATCCCATAGCATAAGAGTGAGAAAGAAATGCACCCAGGGTTCTGGAACATGGGCCAAAAGGAAGAGCTCAAGAAGGGGTGAGAACGACAAGACGCTAGCAGTTTATCTAGAACCACCCTTAGCAACCTTCCCAAATGCAGGAACCAAGGTTTTGACAGGCATTCATCTGGAACGTGATGAAAGGGAATGATGGCAGGCCCCTCTCTGGAAAATGGCAGTAGGGGATTCAGAGGTGGGAGGAAGTCCTACGCAGCTAGGGGAGGGAGGGGTCCACGTGGCGGCCACCCTGAAAACTGGCCTTCTGTGAGTCCTAGTCAGTCCGTGCTAAAGATGGCCTGTCCTTAAAGTGAGGGAAGAGAGGGTATGGATATAGAGTCCAGAGCAACTGAGATGGCTGGGTGTTTTTAAGAAGAAAGGAGGATCAGGTGTAGTTCATTTCCTTTCAGGAAATCGGAGAAAAGGGAGGTTTACTGAAATACTAATGGATTGATGTAAGCTTCTGATTAGGTACGATTCCTACACAGCATCCTCTATGTTACCGAAAAGGAAAGGAATAGTGGGGAGGTAGCTCCGTGTTGAGAAAAAAGTTACTGAAGTCATAAATTTCAAATTTCAGTGAGGTCTAATTCCTCAGGGGAGTCTCCCAGGAATAGGATCGGGCCAGGAAATAAGAGTAGAGGAGAGAGAGGGATGGAAGAAGTTGAACTGGTCCAGTGGCCTTTAACAGTGAAAAATAAAAGAGAGGGATTAGAGACAAGGAGGTTCTGGGGGCCTAGAGGGAATGTATACTGTTCTCTGTCCCTCTCAGTCTTGGGGAGAAGATGGTGCTAGATACACATCCTTGAAGTTTGAGAGTGTACTTACTCAGAGATGAATATCTGCTTCTTGCCTGAGTTTCTGAATGGAGGAAGTTCACTGAAATATATCTGGCGGGGGGTATAAAGTCCTGTAGGGTTGTTTTCAGGAATGAAGAAAATGGGGGCATTCCAGGTCCTTGCACTCTCAGAAGACCACGACAGTTTCTGTGACTGCAGATGAAGCAGAGGAAGGGAAGTCCGAAGTACAGTCATGGGTCCCAGCAGGCCACTGACTTTAGACTGAACCAGGTGGAGCCTGGGGATATGTCCCTCCCACACTCCAAGAGGGCAGAGCCAAAAGTTTAGCCAGCTCTGGGAGAAGAATGAGGAGACCTGAAGAGGAAATATGACTGGAATTTCAAATGGGACTGAGCTCTGGCAGTTCTCCAAAATGTTAACCATAGAGTTACTGTATGACCCAGCGTTCTACTCTGAGGTATAGATCCAGGAGGAAAAAAACCTGTCCCCATGAAAACCTGTACACGAATGGTTACAGCAGCATTATTCATAATAGCCAAAAAGTAGAAAGAGTTAAACTTTTCAGCAACAGACGAATGGACAAATAAATTTTGGTATATCCATAGAGTGGAATATAATTCAGCCTTAAAAAGGAATGAAGGGCTTATACAAGCTACAATGTGGATGAACCTTGAAAACATCATGCTGAGTGAAAGAAGCCAGTCACAAAGACCACATTTTATATTATTCCGTTTATATGAAATGTCCATAATAGACAAATCCATAGAGACAGAAAATAACTAGTGGTTTCCTAGGGCTGGAGGTATGGGGAGAGTCAGAAGGGCGACTAATAAAGAGTATGGGGTTTCTTTTTGGTATGATGAAAATGTTTTTAAATTGATTGTTGCCATCACTGCATAACTCTATGTAGACACTATAAACCAATGAATGGCACTCTTTAAATGGGTGGATTGTATGATATGTGAATTATGTCTCAAGAAGCTATTAGGAAGCCTGGAATGGGACTGAGCCATTACAAGTGACCTGCATGTTATGAAACTGAACTGAGGTAATGATGAAAGTCACTCTCTACCCCACAGGCTGGGGGGTTTAACAGAATATTGTTGAAAACAGTTACTAAAAAAATAAAACATTTCAACGAACTTAGTCTCCCCAACAAATTTGGTGGCTTAAGGATGGATGGGGCCCAGAAATCTCAACCTCAGAAGCAAGACAACACCAGCACCAGCTGTTTTGTTTGCTACCTCATGGAGCTGTCTCTCCCCCTGTCTCTACTTCTCTCTACACTTCCCATCTGGTTACCTCTCACTGCTGATTTCCTCATTCCTTCTCTCTAGTCTGAACCTCTTTTTCCCCTCCTTGTTGATTTTGCTTTCTCAGAGTTTCTGCTGCCTCAACACCACATCTCCCATGATGAGTCTCATAACCTTCTGACTGCTTCTGCCTTGAGCATCTGATTTGCTGACTCATTTACCTGAAGCAGCCATCTCCTGTGGTATGACCCCACCTATAAATTGACCGCTCTTTGGCCCACTGAGCAGTTGTGGAAGGCGGGTCACGCAGAATGAAGCCTGGCTTTCTAGGGTGCCCTTTTGGACAAAGGGAGAAGGCAGGGAAACTTCTCTCAAAAGGGGACAGGTACTCTGAAACTTGACTCAAAGAGGTAGTAGGGGGAAGGCAGACACCTCTGGTGAGGGTCTAGGACTGGATGACAGCCCTGGGCTGCAATTATAGTTCACATAGTCATGAAGGTTTCTGCCACTGCAGCAGCTCTTCTGGTTTTGAGCACAAGGTCAGGCACCTGTCCCTTCCTCCTCACCCAAGGTAAAAAAGATAGCTTTGTGTCTTGTTAGGGCACAGTGATCCCCCTCTTCTCTAGAAACTTCTCCAGATGATAAAATTGGTTTTGAGTGGCCATATCTGTGCTCTGTCACCTTACTTACAACCCCATGAACATTTGACTCCAAGCTTTTCAGATTCTTTTCCTCAGGCATCTGAAGTGGATCTAAGAGAAAGTTAGTTACTTCACATGAAAGAAAGTACAAGAATGGAACTGTGGAAGCGCATGTGTATGTGGAAACGCAGAGATCATCTTTAACCATGTAACCCCGAGAGTTCTTAAGAGAGTAACTGAAGAAAGAAGCACACAGCCCAGACTGGCATCCTGGTCCTTTTTCTAGTCCCTTCCACACTCTGGGTTGTGGTCTTAGCCTCAGATTTATCTAGATCCCTGAGTGGAGATATGGCTTATGCCCAAGTAGGTCTCTGCTCCTTCAGACAGTTCCGAAACACAAAAAATGTGTAAGTGCCTGAGATGCACCTACTGCTTAATGCTGATCCAGGCCTGACCTCATTTTTCAGGTAGTTGGAGAAGAACAAGGCAGACCCAAGGCACCAGATAAGCTACGTGCTTTCCAAAGTCTCTTCTTTTTCCTGATCCTGGCTCATCTTTGTTGGACCCAGACATGTGGACTGACTGCAAGATGAACCTGGTATGGTCCCGGCAACTTGGGACCGAAGGATCCCCAGAACCAGCCAAAAATTCTGTACCCAACTCCAGTGTCTGTGTGTGGGGTGGATTTTTCCTATACCACCAATGAAGCAATTTTTGGACACCAGTTATGTGTCTCACAATTCCAATCAATTCTGATATTATCTTTCTGGAAATAGAATCAGATTCCACAGGTTGAGGTTTGAGACCCATAACACTTTCTACTTCAGATGCCAATCACAAGTCTAGATTGTGATCTGTGCTTCTGATTGATCAGCTACAGATGGAAGGTTTCCACAACTCCATCCTTGGGTTCTGTTAATGTTCTAGAGCAGCTCACAGAACTCAGGAAAACCATTTACTTACTAAATTATTGATTTATTACTAAGGATAATAAAGGATATGAATCAACAGCCAGATGAAGAGATACATAAGGCACTATCCCAAATTAAGGAGCTTCCCAAACAACGAAGTTTGGGCCCAGCACAGTGGTACAAGGAGGTATTCTGATTCCCCAAACTGGAAGCTCTCTGAACCCTTTCATGTTTTTATGGAAGCTTCACTAACAGTGATGACTGATTAAATCATTGGCCATTGGTGATTGACTCAACCTCCATCCCCTATCCCCTGCCAGGAGGTCAGGGGGCTAGAACTGAAAGTGCCTACCCTCTAATCTCATGGTTGGTTCTTCTGGCAACCAGTCCCCAACCTTAGGTGTGTCCAACTGTGTTACCTCATTAAAATAATGAAAGACACATTTATAGCTCTCAACATTTAGGAAGTTCCAAGGGCTTTAAGAGTTCTGTACCAGAAATAGAGACAAAACCAAATATATATTTCTTATTATAAATCACAGTATCATGCCTTGGTCGGGTGACTCAGTTGGTTGGAGTGTCATGCACACCAAAACGTTGTGGGTTCAATCCTTGTACAGGGTGTGTACAGGAGGCAACCAATCAATGTTTCTTTCACATCGATATTTCTCTCTCTCTCCACCCCCACCCCCTAAAATCAATAAACATATCCTCAGGTGAGGATTGAAAAGTAAAAAATAAATCACCATATTGTATAGCTATTTTACCCAGGGATTCCCTGACCAGGGCTGATCAGGACTACAACATGTTCCTAGGACTAAATGAAGAGGGGAATCTAACTCCTAAAGCCTGAACCAATGTCCTTTGGCCTTA